TCGACTGCGTTGCATACTATACATTGAACCAGGCAAGTCTGGTTGACCCCAGCCAGATCCAGTACTGTGTTGCGCAATGCAATGAAATGCCGACTGCTGGTACCTGTCCTGAGGGTTCTCCTGTCACCGATTGCGTGCAGTCTCTGGACGCGTGCAAGTTCGTCCAAGGAGGCGAAGCAGTAGACAACGGCGAGGCTGGAGAAAGTGCACCTACTGAGCCTGGAGAAGGCGTTGAAGGTGGTGAAGTCCCACCTAGCGAAGCTGTTGAAGGCGGTGAAGTTGTACCTAGCGAAGCGGTTGAAGGGGGTGAAAGCGCACCCGTCGAACCTAGCGAAGCAGTTGAAGGGGACATTGCGGAGGGGGGAAATACGGACTGGGAGGTTGTGGAGGGGACTGACGGAGGGGTCGGCGGAGATGACGGTACTTCGATCGTGCCCAAGACAAGTGGTGCGGCTCTTCGTATTCTGACCGGGTCTGTTGTTGTTCTTGGGCTAATGATGTGAAGCACCTGGTGATGACGCTTTGAAGATCGACGTCAGGGGAAGTCTCCTTTTTGTGTGAAGTCCACACTCATTTCAAAAGAAGCATTGCAATAGAGTTAGTTACTAGACAGCAGTTTTTAGCCATACGTCGGCAGATTCACAATTACCAGGGACCACTGACCGAGCCGTCAAGGTGTCAACCGGTCGCCTTCGGCAGTATTATTTTTGTATGGCGTGAGCCCTACACACCTTGGCACCCCGTTCGGCCCTCAGGTCGCAACCAGCTCGGTTGGCGGCGGCTGCTGGGCCTGGAGGGCTGTCCGGGGGGTCCAGACCACGACTACCGGTGTCGGACTCACGCGCGACTGGGGGCTTGGGCCAAGCAACCGGCACCAGGTGGCCAGTAGTCCCCGCCCAGCGTTCGGACGTAAGCGTCTCGGCTGTACAGGAAGGTTAGCAAGGCCCTCGGAGGCGGAGATCGGGTCAGATCTCGTCCGGCGAGGCCTGAGGGGATACGGGCGGAGCGAGCGGACGAGGAGCGGAGCTCCGGACTGGTTGCCGCGAGGAAAATTATTGGGGCGGTGTGGCGCTCCGTTCTTGATCCCGTCGAAGTGTGCCTGGGTCTGTGTAGTTTTGAGACCAGCCGTCACTCGGTTCAGAAAAATCTATAAGCGAACAATCTTTAAGGCAAAAGTTTCAAATCATGTTCAAGTTCGTCGTTTTGGCTTCCACTGTTGCTTTCGCACAGACTTCTGTCGACTGCGTTGCATACTATACATTGAATCAGGCAAGTCTGGTTGACCCCAGCCAGATCCAGTACTGTGTTGCACAATGCAATGAAATGCCGACTGCTGGTACCTGTCCTGAGGGTTCTCCTGTCACCAATTGCGTGCAGTCTCTGGACGCGTGCAAGTTCGTTCAAGGAGGCGAGGCTGTAGACAACGGCGAAGCTGCAGAAAGTGCACCTACTGAGGCTGGAGAAGCTGGTGAAGTCGCACCTAGCGAAGCTGTTGAAGGCGGTGAAGTTGTACCT